TTGTGTGTGGTGGGTGTGTGTGTGGACAGGGAGGTGGGTGGATGTGTGTGGTGGGTGTGTGTGTGAACAGGGAGGTGGGTGGATGTGTGTGGTGTGTGTGTGTGTGTGTGTGGATAGGGAGGTGGGTGGATGTGTGTGGTAGGTGTGTGTGTGGACAGGGAGGTGGGTAGATGTGTGTGGTGGGTGTGTGTGTGGACAGGGAGGTGGGTGGATGTGTATGTGGTGGATGTGTGTGTGGACAGCGAGGTGGGCAGATGCGTGCGTGATGGATGTGTATGTGGACAGGGAGGTAGCTGTATGATGTCACTGTTTGCCAGGGGAAGCCGCCCTCCGGAGGACACACCAGCTTTCCCCCAGGGCTGCATGGAACTGACAGTCCTCCCTAGCTCTGGGCTGTTAAATCTGCCAAATTCACAAGCTGGGAGAGGTCCTAACCTGTGCAATGAGGTCTTTGTGTTTCTGCATGAGGCCGTTCAGGTCGTCCTGGTCCTCGTCGATGCGCTTCAGCAGGTCTGCCCTCTCAAACTGCAGCCTGGACAGCTGCTGGTCCACCTGCAGGGAGGCAGAGCGTGACTCAGTGCGCACTGTGTGCTCAGGAGTACTGAGTGTGGGTACTGAATGCTCAGGTGCATGTGGATGCAACACGTATGAAGGGTTCTGGCCCTGTGGAAACCTCTAGGAATCCATGCATACACATGTAAAGGTCCAAGGCATAGGCATGTAAGCACAAACCTGCATTGTCCCTGAGAACAGGGATTTTGTCCCACATACAGGCATATCCCAGCACCAAGTACCAGACTTGGCAACCAAGAGGTGCCAAATAAATATCTATCGTGTGAGTGGATGAATTTGATTGGGGGATTTTCCCTTCAAGGTCATTTCTTTTACATGTGTATTTGGTGATTTTATGTGTATGTAGGCACATCCTGTGAATGTGTGTGCTTGTACATTTATATGTGTGTCCAGGTTAGATTTTAGTCAACTGGACACAACTTAGAGTCATTTGAGAAGCGAGAACCTCAATTGAGAATGTGTGTGTGTGTGTGTGTGTGTGTGTGTATGCATATACATATGTATGTGTGTATGTATATGTATGTATGTATTCTGGAATTCTCTTGATTAATGATTAATGTGGGATGCTCCAACCCATTGTGGGTGGTATTACCACCTAAATGAGTGGTTCTAGGGTGTATAAGAAAGCAGGCTAAGCAAGACATGGAGAGCAAGTCAGGAGGAAGCACTCCTTTAGGGCCTCTTCATCAGTTCCTATCTCCAGATTCTTGCTCTGATTTCCTTCAGTGATGAACTACAATCAGTAAGAAGAAACAAATCCTTTCCTTCTCAATATTCTTTTGGCTATGGTGTTTTACCCCAGCAATGGAAACTCTAAGTATGACAGAAATAGGAATCATGTTGTGGGGTTATTGCTATGATAGATCTGACTGTGTGATTTTGGAAGAACTGTGGTGGTATTTGAGGTTTGGGCTGCAAAATCCTCTGAATGCTTGGAGCTCAGAGGGCTGCTATGTGGGACCCTGGAGGACAGTGTTGTGAGAAGAGAAGAGCAGACAATGGCGGCCTGATTTGTGGAGGACAGCAGCAGTGGCAGGGTGGAGCTTGCCTGAGCCTACAGACAAAGCGCAGTCACTAGGGAAATGGAGCCTCATGGAGCCCAGAGGATAGCGGGGCCCTAGACACCAACCGCTGAAATTTTTATGCTGTGAAGTTTGTTTTTGCTTTGATTTGATTGTAACTGTGCTCTGGAGCATCCTTATTTTTGAAATAGAAATTTTGTAACTTTTTAAAAATAGGAGCCCACAGTTATAGACTATGAAATTTTAGAGAAATTTTGGGTATTTTAGAGAAAGTTTGAACTGTGAAAAAGACTTTGTGAGTTTTAAAGAGATTGAAATTTAAAGTGTTTGAATTTTCTAAAGACTGGAGGACTAAACAGTTTGAAAGTTTTAATATTATGATATTAATATTAATATATAATCTTGGGGGCAAATGAGAAAATAAAGATTATAGTTGGATAGTGATGTATATGTGTGTCAAATTGACAAAGGGTCATTTGCTTTGGTCAGTTTTTCATCAATTTGATACAACATAGAGACATTTAGAAGAGAGAGTCTCTGTTGAGAAAACGCCCCCTAAATTGGCCTGCGAGGCATTCTTGAGTAATGATTGATGTGGAGGCCCAGAGCATTGTGGGTGATGTCACCCACTAGACAGGTGGTCCTGGGTTGTATAAGAAAGCAAGCAAGCAGTAAGTAGCAAGCTAGTAAGCAGAATTCCTCTGTGACTTCTGCTTCAGTTCCTGCCTCCAAAGTTCTTGTCCTGTCTTTCCCCCGTGATGGACTGTGATGTGAGGATCTAAGATGAGAGAAACCTTTTTCTCCCCAAGTTGCTTTTGGACAAGGTGTTTATCACAGCAACAGAAACCCTAAGAAAATGTGTGAGCCCATGTACGTGTTTCTGGACATGTTCCCCTCAATTTATAAAAAAATGAAATACAGGACAAAAGGGCTTGTTAGGATGCTGCACAAGCATGAGCTGGTTCCTCCCCACCTCTGTGCAGACTATAGAATTCCATATATTGAGTACATGTTTAAGTCAAGTATGATCATCCAGACTCCAGGCATTGCCACCAACATGATAGATATATGGCTCTTTCGCCCCCTCAGTGTTGACCATACAATAACATAATGAGAAGCCAGGTCTTGTGGATGCAGGGAGTTGATGTGAACTCTTAGAGAAGGTGGCATGCAGCAGTCTGATGATAAATACCAGGAGTCCCATGGTGGTAAAGCACAGCAGGGCTGCGAGAGGTTCCCGAGAATCAGCTACAGCTGTGAGCGCACAAATGGGTACATGATCAGCTGTGTTCATTATCGCAGGTGCAACTTCCTGCTACTGGACACACAGTAGGCCCACAGCAGGTTTCCTTGCTTGCCTTTGTGATCTCACACCTGTGTGTGCATGTGCATACATGAGTGCATGCTTGTGTGCGCGCATGTGTGTGCATGTATACACGCATGTATATGTGTGTGTGTGTATTCTGTTGAAATCAGTATCAAGCACCCAGTAGGTCCATAACAAATTGCCTTTGCGTCCTAGGGAGCTGAGCATTCAGTAGGTCCACAATAAGTTCCCTATCCTTCCTACAGAACTGAATACCCAGAAGGTCTACAACAGAAGCCTGTACCCCTCAGCAGTGGGGTGACTCAGAGGGGTCTCAAGGGGATGCCCGCATCCTAAGTGTCTCCTTTCCAAGGCTATGTCCCCCGCAGGCCAAGACCAGACCATGAGCCTGCTCTTCTCGGTGGGGCTGTGGGAGGTACAGTACCAGGGTCTTGCTCCGGGTCACATTCTCCAGTTCACTGTGCATGTTCTCCAAGTCCGCAGTCAGCACCTTCTGGGTCTTCAAGGCGTCCTCACATTTAGCCTCACTCTGCTCCAGCTGGACAGGAACAGAAGCAGAAGGAAGTCACTTCTCGGACATCTTCCCTCTCTAACAGCCCAGCCCAGCCCTAACTGGCTACCCCACACCTTCACACCTGTCTGCCAACACACATCCTGTGAGCAGGGGGTATTTATGCTTGAGGCAGCCTGGGTCTGGGGCCACATCGATGCCTAGCACTGTTCTGTGACAGGGCTCTGTGTCCTGCTGTGGGAGTGGGCTGTTCCTTAGCCCCACTGCTCAAACACCCGAGGATGCCTACTCCCCATGCAATACCAGGCCCAAGATGCCCTGGTCCTGCTTTCCCAGAGGAGACAGACAGGACAGTAGTGACAGCCTCTGGGGAGCACAGGGAGGAACAAAGGCACAGTGTGAGGATGGCAGGGCCGGCCAGCCCTGACCAGGGCTTGGGTTCAGCTGGTCTGCAAACCTGCTAAAGTAAAAACATTCTACACGGAAGGGTCTTCCTGTGCTTGCCATTGACCAGACTTCAGGGGCCGAGCCAGTAACTCAAACTGCTTTCTTGTCCTCTACCTTCTCGTCTATTGGTAGGCTACGATTATTCAGGCACATGCCACGCCCCCCCCCAGTGACCTGTCCCAAACTCACATCAGCACACAAACCCTAAGTCCAATGTCTATGTTTCCCGTGATCCCTAGAATTAGAATCTTCAGACAGAAAAAAACACACAGAAAATACTCAGGACTCAAAGTAGGGTAGCACCTCGCCCAGAGCTACACAGTTGCAGGAAATAAAGGCAAACCCAGAATTCCCTGACACGCGTACTTTTTTCCCTTCTAAAAGCACTGTCTCCTGAAGGACTAAGGATCTCTTCATGGAGCCACACACCTGTAACCCAGCATTAGCGAGGCTGAGGCAGGAGAATGGTGAGTCTCAGGCCGACCCCATGGGGAGGCGACCAGGGAAGCTGACTGGGTAAGAAAGGCCTGAGTCCAGGTGGAGGCTGTACACCACCCACCTGGGAGCAATCCCACCTCCCCCGAACAGACAAAGAACGGCTCCAATGTCAAGGTGCTCCACCCATGTGTTACTGTGGCCGTGACAATAACCCAAGAGTTGGGGTCACTGGTGTGAGCAAGGCTCCATCCACAGGAGAGATGAGACTTCAGAGTGAGCTAGATGTGCCAAACTGGAAAGCCCAGCCTCGGGTGAGGCAGAGAGGCTAGAAGAAGGGTTCTCTACAGAGGCGGGGAGCAGAGCTTGGGTCAGGGCCTCACTGTGTGTGTGCTAACACAAGTAGGGAAGAGGTCAGAGCAAGTGCAACAGCCCTGGGGCAGAGCACGGGGCCACAGGAGTGTAGCCGGACAGCTGCCCCTCCAGGGACAGGAGGGACAATGCCGAGGGTGTACACAGGGGTCATAGCAGTGAAGCAGGGGGCCGGCTACAGGCTTGGATTCTATTCCAGCCTGTTGGGGCTTCTCCTAGTGAGTGGTGGCTGCTCCCTGGCTGTTAGGTGGAGGAGCGGATAGTGTGGGAGCTATGATCCGTGGTGAAGGCTCAACAGAGTCTCCTGGAAAGGAACTGGAGAACTCCAGCAGGTGGGGAGGGCTGGGCTTGGAGAGAAATGGAAGGACCCACAACTGCGGGGACTGTATCATCTGTGCAGTGCTGGGGAAGGACCCCGGGCACTATGTGGACCAGGCAAGTGCTCATCACCAAGCGGCATCCCCAGCCCCTCATATAGGGATTTTAAATCATATTTTGGAGTTGAAGAACATGAGTTAGAGCCTCCCCCATACACCCCAGCAGGACAAACACAGCTTATTTGAAGGAGGCATTTGAGGCTTGGCAGAAGTTGCTATGGGTGGAGAGTGGTCGCTGATCCCAGAGGTGCACAGGGAGGTAGGTCTAACCAACTCTACATGGACTGAGCAGAAATCTCATAGACCAAGGCCTCTGTCGGGCAGCTGGGGCTACAGTTGCTGCAGAGTCTCATTTTGTATCTTAAAGGTTCCAATTATTATGCTTTAGGGGACAGGAAGAAGCATAGGCTGCGGGTCTTCTTTCCATGACGGGTGATCCACGGCAAGAATCATTATGAGTGTCATTCCCGCACCGAGTGTGAAGTCACCTGTAAGTTACAGAAGGGATGAGCTCAGATCACCCTGTCGTGGTGATGCAGGCTGGAGTCAGCTCAGCAAACACCTTTCCCCGGCGTTGCTACCACAGCAGCCAGAGAGCAGAGGCCGTGGAGGTGGCCAGTGGGCAGGTGAGGACGCATCACTAGCAGGCTGTTCTCCGCCCCGAGCGCCAGCTTGGTGTGCGAGGTGCAGTGAGGGCTGCCGCTACCAGTCATTGCGCCCTCCCCAGACAAGACCTCTTGTGCTCAAATCAAACATTCACAGCGGGGCAGAGGTGCCAGATCACAGGTCAGATCAAGTCCATGCCCTACCTCTCTTAGCCTCCCGTGGGCTGGACTACAGCTTACCTTGGCAGCACAGTGCATTTGGTATTTGCTGAAGGCTGTTAAGGCTCAGAGTATCTTCTGCACTGATTTTTGTTTGTTTGTTTGTTTGTTAAACAGTGCAAATGTGGCTGTTGTACCCAGCAAACACCAAATGCCCTCCATAACTAGAACATTCCTCATCCCGGCACATTCAGTCAGCACATGATTTGCTAAGGAAATGAGCCCAGTCTTCAGAGATCTGCTCCAGTCCTGGGAGCTGGCTACCAAGGACTCGGGAGCTGTTCTTCTGTTCAGTGGGTCTGTGTCCATCCCCAGTTCAACCCTGACTCTCCGGATCCTCTGGATATAAACATCACCAGACATTATGAGGTGATATACCCATCTACCCTGAGGGGGGCTTGGACATCACACTGTGGGTAGGAACAAAACAGAGAGCAGACAAAACAGAGTTCCAGTGTGCCCATGACCTTGAGCAGATTTCCCAGAGCCTTTGAGTTTTTTCCCAACCACAAAACATGGGGGTGGGGTGGTTCTGTACATTGAGCAGTCCTACAGGATACAGCCAATGAGTTGTACTCTCTATAATCTGTGGACGGCATACACATGAGCCTTGTGCGAGCTCTTGCTCCGAGACCTGCACTGCCTGGACACTTTCAAGTGTAGCCCATCTAACCTGTACAGCGGTCATCCCCAACCTAGCTGGTTGAAAGTGGAGGGCTTGGTGCTTTGTAGTTATAGATACAGTAAACGACCGGATCTGAACTTGAGCCTGGGCACCACTCAGTCTCCACCCATCTCTATAGACTGTGAAAAACGTCTGTCTCCCAAAGGTCCATGTGTTTGTGATCGTGACAAGTCTATGACCCTCCTAAGATGACCTGGCACTGAGGACATTGAGGTAAAAGATGACAAGAGACCTTCCTTCCGGTAGCACAAATGACAAAGTCAGGGCACTCACACGCTGGGCAAGCCCAGGCCAAGAGACACATTTGTAATGATACAGTTGGAACATCGACATACAGCCAACCTTGCAGACATCAGAACAGCAGACCTTTCCATTTTCTCTGCAGCTTCTTTCCTACTTAAGCTGAGCTGAGTAGGTGGTGGCTCAGAACCTGAGACAGGTAAGCAAACAAATCAAAGGTACACACACACAGACTGGGAGAAAGCTGCAAAACTAATGTATGAGTGTGTGTGTGTGTGTGTGTGTGTGTGAGAGAGAGAGAGAGAGAGAGAAAGAGAGAGAGAGAGAGAGAGGGAGAGAGAGTATGTTCTGTATGAGTGTATATGTGAGTGTGTTTATGTGAATGTCTGAGTGTGTGAATGTGTATGTGAATGTGTAAGTTATGTATGAGTGTATGTGTGTATGCAAATGTGTGTGTGAGTGTATGAATGTGTATGTGAGTGTGTGTGTGTGGCACGTATTTAAGTGTGCCACCGTTCTGTCATGTGTAAAGGGTGGAACAGACCGCTGTGGTGGGGCAACGGGCCTCTAGGCTCTCCACACACAAAGGAGAACATCCTCCTTCCCATGGGCCTGGGGAGATGGAAATTTCCACACTCCCTCTGGTCCTGTGTGGCCACTGGATACAGCTGGAAACCACAACCCACGAAGCAGCCCATCCTTTCACAGATGAAGAATCCCATTGCAGTGGCAGGGGAAGAAGGTGACACATGACTTGACAAGGTCAGCTTCAAGTCTTTAAGGCTCGAGACCTAAGTGTTCCTGGATCCCCCATACCCATCTGCATACAACTCCTGCTTACAGACCTCTTCCCCACTGTAGCCCTCACCAGGGACCTTCCACTGCCTCCCTGCCCCCACTGCCTCCCTGCCCCCACCGCCTCCCTGCCCCCACTGCCTCCATCCCCTCACTGCCTCTCCCCATAGCCCACTGTCACTCACCCCATCCCTGCTCTTTCTCCACCACCCCTACTTTGTCTCCGTACCCCACTGCCTCTCCAGCACCGCCACTGGCATTCAGAGAGGGTGACTGAGATCCCCCTCACATACACAGCAACTGTAAGGCCAGGGATGGCTTTGCTTTCCTGTGAGAAGCCATTTACCTGCTTTAAATACTTGGGGAAATGTTTTCTTTGGACTTAAAGGGCTTCTAGACAAGGCAGCTTGACATATGGAGAGAGTGGAGCAGAAATGCTGTGTTCCGTGAGAGCTTAGATCCTAGATATCTGGGTCTGGTTGAACAACTTGAGGGATTTGAAAATGTCACAGGGGACATTCCACAGAGTTTGCAGGGCTAGACTGGACACTTCCAAGCTGGGCATGCCACCTTGGCACTTGGGAGACTGAAGGGCTCCTCCAGAGAGGGTCACCTACAATCCACATTGCAGACAGCCCCAACCACGTTCAGCAAAAGCTGTCTCTGCACACAGCGTCCACTGAGAACTGGGAGGTGGCTCAGTGGTTAGGTGAACTTGCTGCTCTTCCAGAGGATCCAAGTTTGGCTTCCAGAATTCATGTGAGGTGGCTTTCAACTGTCTCTAATCTAACTCTACCTCCAGCGTCTCCAACATCCTCTTCTGGCCTTTATGGGCACCTACATTCATTCACA